CGGTAGAGGGCAGGGGTCACCAACTGGTGGTCTGTGGACCACTGGCAGTCCATAAAAAATTGTTGGTGGTCCGCAGAAAAATTATTTGCATTTTTTATATTGCACTAAATACTATTTATTCTTTTTAAAAAATCATATTAGTGGTCTGCAGAATTTAAAATTATGAACTTGGTGATCCCCGAGATCCGAAAGGTTGTAGACCTCTGGTATAGGGTCTCCTGCTTGAACAGGGAGTTGGACTAGAAGACCTGCAAGGTCCCTTCCAACTCTATTCTGATGGATTGATTGCTATAGTGCGGCTGGGCCAAAAATTAGAAGTGATGACTTTCAGCAAAACCATCACAAAACACAGAGTCGCATGACCACAGGATTCTCCAAACAGCCATAAATTCAGCCTTGTTCCACGCACCTGAAGTTCAGTCACATGACCAGGGGTGGGCAAGCATTGGAACTTCCGTTCTGAGTCTTAAGTCCCCTTTTTCGGGTCTGTCATAACTTTGAACAGTCACTAAGTGACTAGTTATAAGTCAAGGACCACCCGTACTTGAGGCAGAATGTCTAAAGAGATTAGAGCATTGTTTTTCAACCTTGGCAACTTTGAGACGTGGATTTTAACTCCCAGAATTCCCCAGCCAGCCATGGGAATTCTTAACTCTTGAGGGAATTCTGGGAGTTGAAGTCCACACATCTTAAACATTGCCACAGCTGAAGAACACTGGATTAAGGGTTTAAATGCCCAGCTTGCTCCTGTCCTCAGTTTTGGGCAGGAACCCCCTGCAGTCTGTATGGCAAGAGCTGATTCTTTCCAGTAACTCCCCAAATCTTTCATGTTGGCAGAAGTTACTTTGATGAGTAACAAGATGTCTCCGTTTTAATAAACTTCGGTCCAGTTGCCTTGATTTAAGATGTCCTCAGTGACCTTCGGGATTGGGCGGCATACAAATCCATTAAAATCTTAAACCTTAAACTTTCTATTCAGAGGAAATTGGAAATGGAGCATATGATCCTAAGCCTTGTAGTCCTCGACTTACAACAGTTCATTTAGTGTTCGAAGTTACAAAACCACTGAAAAAAAGTGACTTTTAACAACCATTTTTCACACTTATATGACCGTTGCAACCTCCCCATGGTCACAAGATTTACATTCAGATGGTTGACAACTGACTCACATTTGTGATGGTTGCAGCATCCCAGGGATCGCTTAACCAAGGTGGCAAGGAAAGTCGTAAAAGGGGGCAAAACTCAACGCATTTCTCACTTAGCAACATGAATGTGTTGGGCTCCATTGTGGTCGTCGGGTTGAGGACCATCCGTCTTTTTTCTTCTCTTTCAGAAAAACCCTCTTGCGTCCCCCTGGGCA